AGAAGAAGAAAAATTATCTAAGTTACCTGCAAGTAGCATTCACATTGATAAAGTTATTGAACTAGTATTATTTTTAGAAAAAGCAGACATACCACCTTTGCTTGGTATCTCCTGCACCATGTGAATTTGTTGCAACTACTGATCTCAGGAACTCTCAATCATACATCCATGTTTAATTCATTTCATTACTTGCTTCATTGTTTTATCTCTGAAGACCCTTTCTAATGGTCTAGAACCCTGCTGCAGTTAAACACTGTAGAAGAAAATGGAAAACTATCCATCAGGATATATAGCAGGTATGAAACACTAAACTGCAGGCATAGAGATGGGGGACTTGCAAAGAAACTGCAAGACTCCTTTTCAGGGTTAGAGGCAGGAGTGCTAACATGAGAGTACAGATTATTTAACATTCTCTAGTACACATTCATTTAAGGAGAAATTTAAATTAAGATGAGACACTCCGATATTAACAGGAAATTCCTAAGTGCAGGATGAAACATGTGAGAAGGGAGGGGGAAAAAAATTAATATAATTTTACATTATAAAAGGCCAGAGATGACATTTTAGTATGTAATAGAAGGTAGAATGGGTCAGTAAGCTGCTAAGGACCATGAAAACTAAGACAAGCAATTTATTTGATTTAATAGAGAAGAAATCACAATGAGGATATAAAAACCAAAGGCAACCTTCTCAGAGTGGTGGTCAGGAATAATAATATTGTAATAAAGCAGTAGCATTCCAAAGGTATTGTACAAACCAATTTTGCAACTGTGTCACAAGAAGAGGCAGCTGTTACCTAGCTGAGTCATACTAACTAGGTATGATGCATAGAAAGATACAGCTCTATTACATCTCAGGTAGAAGACAATGCATAACACTGTGGAAATGAAAACAGACTCAGATCATATTTGCAGATAACCTTAGATAAGCAAGAAAAATATTGTTATTGAGAGTGACAAAAGAAAGCACACAAGGTGGAGGAATTAAAAAGTAAAGAATTCTATTTTTCTCTATTTTGCTCTTTAGTAAGCAGCTAAATATCACACATATTGAACAGATAAGTCAAAATACTAGTTTGGCTAGACCTACAAACTGTTAATACAGGTGATTTTTGTCTCTGCAAATGAAGTTACCCAGAATAAAGCATAGCAAGAGAAAGAAAAAAAGCCCCGGGGGGTGTGTGAAAAAAGTCTTCCTTCTCTCATTCTCTCATTTATTTCCAGGCAGGATATATTTTAACTTACTTCGTCTCTTAAAATCACAGACAAAGGAAAAAACCGTCCAGGCAACTGATAATTTGGGCATTATTTTTGTTCTTCCTTCTACACACTGGTGTCACTACAATAATCTTGCCCTGAACAAACTCCATGAGGTAGCTATCTTCAGGACCTACCAGTATGCAGAACTAGTTCATTTTTCACTCAATTTTTACCATATCTGTCAATCATTATTTTAATGCATCTTCAGTAAAGACAGAGCTCATGCATAGCATTTATTCACTTCTGTCAACAGGAAGCACGGAAGTTCTCATATTCATACAGATTGTCTGCTCAACTTGCACAGTTTATATATCACCCAGACTCTTACACGCCCTCTCAAGCGGCAAGTTACAACTAGTTTTATTAAATAGTTGTCTTCAGCATAGATACTACACCAGGAAGCATTTTGAACTCAGCAACACTATTATTCATAGGACTTTTCCCAGGAGTGGCAGTCTGAGTGTTGCAGTTCAATTGACGTACCAGTGGAGGCACTTCTCATAGTTTTGCTATGAGAAGTCAGAGCTGTTTAATGCTGTGTTGTGCATTCAGCAGACCTGAAAATCTCTGTATAGGAAAATTATGGATTTATGTTTGGATAAAACATAATAGCCAAAGAAAGACGGGCCAAAAGTAACTTCTTCTTTATGATTATACAGTCAGGTTGCCCCTGAAATGCTATTGGTGTCCTTCTCCTTTTTGCCACATAAGTGGGAGTTACAGGATGATGACTGTTCTTACCCATCTGTGTTCCAATTTCTCCACGGATCATAAGCATATGTGTATAGAATTTAATTTTATAGATGGGCAAATACTTGGACAGTGGTTGCATACAAATAGAAGCTGAGGGATAATAAAAGTCTGATTTTCAATTATGAGTACATTCTATAAGCAGGAGCACCAAGGAACATCAGCTTGTAGAAAAGGGATAAAAAGAGATTATAGGAGATTAGCCCTCCAGGCTGTTAAAACACTATGTATAAGTGGGCTTCAATGTCACTCTGAAATAACCCTGACACTTAATTCATTTGATTCGAAATACTGGAATCAAAATCAACATCCATAAGGATTTTGATTCCAGCATTTAGAATCAAATTTTGATTTCCCATTTGGGCTAATTCTTTTTGATTTTTAAATCTGAAAAGGAAAGGTCTAAGGAATTACAAGAAGCCCAATTAACTCCAAGTCAGGGTCTGGATACAAATAGTAGATGCTTTTCCTAGTATCTCTGAGAATTAAGAGAAATAATGCTTCTCTCATGCCAAGAAGAGGTTACAAAATAAATCAATTAGAGAAATTACAGTAGGAAGGCATTAATGCCAAGACAAGCATCTCCAGGTAATGAAGCCTAAGTCCATGTGTAGGACCATGACCAGTTAATTAGTTATCATAGTACAGGGAAGAAAATGGAAGTGCAGTGGATAAGCTGTAAAACCACTACAGAAGATAATAGAGACATATTATATATGTGATAAGCTCTACCAACAAAAAAAGGGCCAATTTAAACAGTGCTGACAAGGATTATTGGAAATATCAGATCTTTGCCAGAAAATATTTAAGAGAGAATTCCATACTCGTAGAATGGCCTAAGACACATGGAGACAATGACAGACATAAGACAGAAAAATCTAGACAAAGTCAACAAAGCTACTAAAAAATTAGGTAACTTCTTTTTCTTAAAATATTTTTTTCTGGTCTGATTATTTCTCAGGACCCAGTGGAACTGCTTCCCAAAGTTGTCACTTAGCTGTCTTCTAATACAAAAAATCTTTGTAACAGATATAGTACTCATAATGTATATTTCATTTGCACTAAAAATCAAGTATTTCTGAAGAGTTTTATCAAAATTCAGCTTAGTTGAATGTTCTTGGCCGTAAGTGCTTTTTACCCTTAAAGAACCATAGAAAGTAAACACAAACGGGATTCAAGCATTTAAGACAAGCTTGTGAAACATAGGGAACATTTTTGGAAATGATTTTGTAGTCTACTTGCATCTCAAACTTATCACTTAGCTCTCTCCAAATAAGAAAACTCTTTGTAAAAAAACAAAACTGTATTAGCAACCAAAAATACTGACAAAGGAATTAAAGGACAGATTAGTAGAAATGATTTCACATCGCTGTACCAGTAATAAGAGAGATGTATAAAGTGATACATAAAGAACTCCTTTCCTACATGCATGGGATGTGAAGAGAATAGTTTCACTTGCTTTCTTCAGTGATGATCTAGTCTTACGCTGGTTTGGAGGATAGGAGTTGCAGAAGGGCATATTAGCATCTTAATCCAACACTACCTCAGTGATGTCTTTCAACTTCTTAATAGAAACCGTGAAAAGTATGTCAGAAGTATCACCTATAGAAGTCTTTTCTTTAACCACTCCCATTTCAAGGAGTTTCTCCATCTCGATTGCTGTCAATTCCAAACACCAGAACTCTGGAATCCCCTGGGTCAACTGACGTTTTAATCTGCACTGTGATTCTATGATAAGTTATACTGTATAAACAGTAGATTAGCTAGAAGGCACTGAAGTTGCTTCAGGTACTGATATAGATCACCTTGTCTCAGGGATCTGGTGAAAGGCGTGTGTTACATAGGATACGAGTAACTTCTCTGAGGCTTTCACAATTAGCCATTGAAGCCACTGAAGCCCTTCCAGTCATTATCAAAACCAAGACCACCTATTTGGCATATTTAAAGAGCACAGAAGCTCTCAAGAAACAACTTTTAATAATAAAATCAGGTATGCAACTAGTCCTGTACAAAATTAGTGTATAACAACTGAAGATATGTAAAGGAATACAAGTAGAAGCAGAAGCATTTTAAAGTTAACTTTCTGATTTTACAATATAGATTAATTCTTCCTGAAAGGCAGCTGTTTTCAAACATAAATACAGCACATTTAGGAACCACTAGATGACAGAATCATTATGTGTTCCTACCCACAAACCTCTCTCTTAAGCATCATGTTTTACAAAACTGTCAAAAAAATAAGTTCATATGAAACCCTTTAAAGGTTAACTCAGGCAACCTAAATGTGATAGCAAATACATGGTTCCATATGCCTGAATGTTCATGTGTTTTTCCATAGTTACTGACTTTGTGTGCTGTGAAAAGCAGAAGCTAATAGCATTTAAGGGAATTAAACAGGAATAGTTCATTGCACGAGACAAATCAGCCATAACAACAAAAAGTCAAAGAAAAAAAATTAAATTTAAGATTTCCATACTCATTAAAATTTATTATTTTTTTTAAAGTTAATTTCATCCCAGATTCTGATTGCAGATTCTGGGGAAATAAACGGGGAGAAAACTGTTACTCAGTACTATTTTAGCTTCAGAATTTCCCAAGACTTGCAAAACATGGTGTCCAAATTAACCACCTTTGTACTGCAGGATGTTACTACTGTCTATGTCTAAGTGACATTTGGAGTAACAGTAACCAGATAAACATTTAGGAAAAAGGCACACACACCCCCACAAAAAAAATGCTGTGTCATGTGAAGAGCACCTCCATTTCCCAAAAGTATCATTAAATAAATAAATCTGTCCAGTAGAAAAAAATATCCAAATAAAGGAGTCATAGCTTCTGGCTTTTTGCTATAGATTGGGGGCGAGGCAAAGGAAATCACATTTGGGGCTAGGAACTTGGGGATTACTGCCTGGAGGGAAAAGAGGCCAAACACTAGGGAGGGGGGGGAAAGGAAGAGAAGGAAAGACAATAAGGAGCAGAATGTGCACTTACTGTTTGGTTATCTTCATACAGCTTCAAGTCATATCCACTCAGCTCCACACAGAAAATTATTGCTGTAACCCCCTCAAAACAGTGGATCCACTTTTTGCGTTCAGATCTCTGTCCACCCACATCCACCATTTTGAAAGTCAGCTCTTTGAAGGTGAACTTATTTTCTACAATCCCTGTGGTCATGTCCCGAGAACGTAGAATATCTTCCACCGTAGGGATGTAGTCCAGTGCTGCAATCCTTTCTAGGTCATTTAAGTAGTATGCAGCATTATCCTCTAGGTGGTACTCGTTGGAGCGGCAAAAACACTCCTGCACACCAGGGTCTGCCCAGAGCCGTTTCATGACTCCCAGGAGCTCAGGGGTAATCTCACCTTTGCTCTCAGCTGGGCCTGTCAAGGCAAAAAGCTGCACAGCATCATATGCTCTGTCAGGATTGTGAAACTCTATTTTAAGTGTGGCTAGAGCCCGAATAATACGTGTGAGAGAGTCAATTGCATTATAGATAATCAGAGGTTTGTATTCCTTACAGGCCTCCAAGTTAAAGCCACCACTATGAATGATTTTCATCTGCTTTACAATAGTGCTCTTCCCAGAATTGCTGGTACCCAGGAGTAGGAGCTTAATCTCTCTTCGCTGTCGCTGACTTTCAGAGCGCAGGTGGCGGTCAATCCTACGGGACCGCCGCGCTGCCTCCTTCTCCTCAGAGCTTTGCCGACATCCCATGGTATAGCAGGTGGTTACAGAAGGGGAGGCTTGGAGATTGTCTCACTCTGTTTGCGTCTCTGAAAAAGATCTGCGATGTCTTTCAGTTCTCGTGCCACGTACAACTTGAACAAGAAAAAAAGTCGCTCTCCAATACCTGATAGTCCAAGATGCCTGTACCGCCTAATTCAGTCCCAGCAGGGGTCCAAACCCATGTAGATATGCAACCACGGAAATAGTCACTTCAGCAGATCTCATGGCACTCCCCTTTCCAGCACATAAGCAGTGACACATTCCTGTTACTGAAGGGACACTTCCCTTTGCCGCTGTTTGGCTAGATCCATCAAATACTCTTTTCTGTTCTGCATAATTATTTTGCTGCCTTCTGTCCAAAGGTAAGGAGCTGCGCTTTCACCTTCTCTGCTCCTGCTCTTGTCTTTTAATTGTATTTTCTGGTTGCTCTGGTGATGCTGCTAGATAAAGCTGAAGCTCTTTTCAATGGCGCTGCACTTGTTTTGTTTCTATTCCACCACTTCTTCAGCTGATCCAGTTCAGCTCTGTAAATCAGTGCTTTCCACCTGCCAAACAATGAGAAAAGAAATGAATGAAATGAGAGACTCTGCTTCCTTGCTGTCTTGCTGCAAACCACTCGCTTTCTCCTCCTCTTCTAGACTTCTAAACCTTTTATTATTCCAATAACGGATCAGAAAATACAGATGGAAAAATATGTAAAGAAAAGCAAAAACCTAAAACCACAGCAAAAACGTAGGGACAGCTGAAGCTCGCAGACCTAAGAAAATGTGATTTCTGAACAATAGTAAATCAAATCTGCTTTTCAGACTTCTGTGTTTTATTATCTAAACCTACATGAAAACAAACAGTGCTGAGCTGTGCCCCAATTTCTCCCTCAGCAAGAGCTTATGGCAGTGCTTTTCCTGCGCAGTCCTGTTCTGACTGGTTTTCCTGAAGTGGAAAATGAAACAGACTCACAACTACTTTCCCAGTCTCTCTATTTATATCAGTATCTTGTACTCAGACAGATGTCCTCCCGAGTTTTCTTTCATCTTTTCTATGTGCATGGAACATTTAAATAACTAAATCAGGAAGCAAAAGGAGGTGATCAACTTTGCTTCATGATTTTGTAAAAGGGAGAGTTACTCATCTTTGCAGATTACAGTAAGAGATCTTCTTTCCCCTTGTAGAACAGTACTGTTCGACATACTATGTACGTCCTGCTTAATCAATAAAGGGATGCACTACTACAACAAACTTTGTAAGCTTCCTTCCATAGCCAAGCTAAGTGTTAATAAGCCTCCTCTCTTCCATTTTTAATACAGGAAATTCTGAGGTACAGTAAAAGTGAATAGTGACTGTAAGTCACTAATAAGTACTATACTTACTATATATGCTTACTAGAAGTAAGTATAAGTGAATAGTGTTTCATACAAAAGGTACAGAAAATGACATCACAAGCAAGGGCTGACAACTTTGCAGTGACTGTTAGAGCAATTACTCTTTCCTGAATCAGGGGTGAAGCTTCCTATTTGGAACTCTGCAGAAGGCAACAGCAGGAAGCAGTTACCTCTCTCAGAGGGAAAACACATTACTAACAGCTGATTGGTGATTACTTGCCTCTTTCCTAGGAAGGGCTTGCTGCTCCCACTAAGCTCTGAGCACAGTGGGCAGCAGAATCGCAAATGTTGTGGCTTCCGCATTGTAAGCTGGCCCCAGCCCACTTTGGCACTTATCTTCTGTCTGCTTACTTGTGCCTAGGGGGTTTTCAGTGAGTATTTTTACAAACTGAACTACATGCCACTGAGATACTCTCAGAGATAAGCTTAAGTTCACAGCCTACTACAGAAATATAGATTCTTCTACATTCTAGTAAGACTGAATCTCCCGGATTTCATTTTCAAAGTTGCTGTAGAAGTCTTTGGAAGTTTTCTTGCATGAACTTCCTAGCATTTCAGTGTAGACGTGACAAAGCATTAAAATACATATTGAAGAGGATGATTCCACACTAATAGGAGAGGGACAGAATGATCCCAGACAGATGTTGAACAGAAGCTTTTGTGAGAGAAGATACTGAACTACAGCTACTTGAAACCTCATGCACTTTGCTTTTTCTCTTTCTTAAGCATCACAGCAGAAGTTTTAGTGAGCAAAAGATATTTCAGCACTCCAAAATACTAATCTGTAATTAAGTATTTTAAACAAAGCACTGGATTTACCAATATGTATTTTTCCTTTCTCCACATTACCTACATCATAGGATATGGTTCACTTACATAGATATACAGCAGGACATGGTGGGTCTCATTCTTACATGGCCACACTGCTCTGGTTGAAAAATATGAACTTACATTTACATGACTTCTATTTTAATGTGTAACATATTTATAAATGCATATACATTTAATAGATGTTTTGTAAGATACTGTTCTACTATTGAGAATTTCAACTCTTGCTTTTTGTCTTGCCAAAAATCAGTATCAGCCATGGATTTCAGCAGGAAAGCAGGATCTTGCCTTGCCCTCCTAGTAGTTGTCGCTATAGTAGAAATTAATTATAGTAGGAATTATGTCAAATAATAGTTTTAGCTAACTTTTAAGTACAGTTAACTGAGATACAGCACAACATAAAGATTTCAAGGCAGGAGCTTCTCACATATAGATAAGGACAATTACATCATCTGCAGTACTGAAGGTGGTTTAAACGGTTAAAAAAAACCAATAAACCTCACTTTGTGTGTTCCTTAGCATCTCGCATTTACAAGAAAAAATATCATTCTTAGAACATTTATTTGGGAGGGTAATAAATTATATATCTAGGATTTCATTCCTGAGGTAGTAGAAACAAGCATAATGATACCAGACTTCACTGCTTTGCAAGAGGTATTCTTCTGTTATTCATATATTCTTTGTCACAGTGGGCTATCCTAATCTTAGTTTCTACACTTCATATAGCTTTGTCTCTGAACATGCTTAAAAACACTTACAGATCTCTTCTAATTTATGATTGTCTGACAAGTAGAAAGGTAGAGTCTATGCGCCTGCTTTCAAATCCAAGTCCCCACTGTTATGCATCTCTGGGATCTACAGTTCTGTAACAGCATCTTGGTATTAGGCGGGTTCTTGCAATACACTGAATCCCTTTTCAGCAGTTTCCAATATCTAAATGTCAAGGTATCTGGGAACGTGAAACGCACACGTATGGAAGGACAAACAGTTATGGCAATCACTGTTAATTCCTTAACATCAGAGAAAAAGGTGACTTAACTTCAGAGAAAAAGGAAAGAGTCAATGGATGACAGTTCTACATACTCATTCCTGAAGTTTACTAGGATGTTAGCCTGGGACAGTTGAACTTGCAATCACTCACTCTGAGATACTTTTACTGATTCCATCTTTATTTTTAAATCCCTTCCTAACTCTAACCCTGCTTAAGGGAGATTCATAGTTGAACCAATGTAGACCTGGATTCATGGCTACCACGATGATTCAGTATAGGTCAGGGCTGGTACCAGTCCAAAGACTTCTACAGCAGTTTATATTTTAGTTAGAATAAGATGAACAGAGGATTGTTGCAAACTACTGGTTTCTTTTATAAAACCTGTTGAAGCCCATTTAACTGAACAGGCAGTTTAGCACTAGCATGTTCTTCTGTTCATACTTTTGTAGCAAATAAAACCAGTCATTATTATTGGTTTCATACCTAGGCTTGCTCTTTGCCCCTACCCACCACTTTTGTCTTGTTCAAACTGATCCCTGTGTTTGTAATCACAAGCACTTATCCCTTTGCTCAGCATGTTCCCAAGTAACAATGAGGGCAGGGAAGGACAATGACACAACAACACAATTCACTTGTACAAATTTTCCTAAGGAAAGATCTGAGTACTGTATGTTGTTGCATTAGCTACTGGCACACTATCATGGCATGCCTTGAAAGATGTTCCTCCCTTGAAGATCTTATTGAAAAGAGCTGGCTTCTAAACTGAGAATAAAGCTAAGGGCTGCTACTATCACAGTCAATGTAGGCTGTGCATAAGATACTGTCCTGGGTTCAGCTACAGCGGTCATTTTTTCTCCTTCTTAGTAGCTGGTGCAGTGCTGTGTTTTTGACCTTCAGCCTGAGAACAACGCTGACAACACTGATGTTTTCAGTTGTTGCTAAGTAATATTTACTCTGACCAAGGACTTTCTCAGTCTCATGCTCTGCCAGGGAGGAGGGGAAACCGGGAGGAAGCAGAGACAGGACACCTGACCCAAACTGGCCAAAGGGCTATTCCATACCACGGCACGTCATGCCCAGTATAGAAACCTGAGGGAGTTACCCGGAAGGCCCAAATCACTGCTCAGGTCGGGCTGGGTATCGGTCAGTGAGTGGTGAGCAATTGTATCCTCTCTCCTTGTTATTTCCCGTATCATTATTATTATTGGTGGTAGCAGCAGTGGTTTGTATTATACCTTAGTTACTGGAGTGTTCTTATCTCAACCCGTGGGAGTTACATTCTTCCGATTCTCCTCCCCAGTGGGAGCGGAGAGGAAGAAGAAGAAGGGAGAGTGAGCGAGTGGCTGCGTAATTCTGAGTTACCAGCTGGGCTTAAACCACGACAGATACGTTGCTAACAGCAGGTATTTCAGCTGGCATTGTAGGCACAAAGCCATATTCTCCCTACTGCAAGCAGTACCAGTAGCCTAATAATCTACCTTCGTCACTCCAGCATGCACACACAGAGCTTTAGGAGTCCAGTCTTGTTCAGCTCTTTATAGTATTTCCATCCTAGTAACCAGATGATAAGTATAAATTTTCCCCAGTAGTACCTAATTTAAAAAAGTAAAATGAAGTTCAAAAGGTTGCAGCAAACTTTCCGCTAGTTTTAGCTACAGTTGCCAGCAACCTTGGTTGATTCAGGAGTGATGTGCTGTTCAGTATTAGAGAACATATGCTATGAGAGGAAGAAAACAAAACCATTCCCAAGCTGTATTTTGAGGTTACTGATTCTGATCACTTCTTTCTCTTTACTTACCTGAAAGTTTAGAGGTGGTGGACTTGCCTGTTTGAGCACTTACCCATGTAAAAGCAAACACAAGCAAATCTAGCAAGAAGTCGCACAGCAGACATCAGACTTACAGGTATAAGCTAATCTAATATCATCCATTAGTAGCGATTAGACACATCCACAGAGAATTCCAGTAGTTTAACAAAACCGTATTTCTGCAGGTTTAAACTTTCAATCACTTTTTACATTATTAAAAAAAGATCAGACGACATGAGGGAGTACGATACATCAGGAAATACCCAAGGTACTTTACTGAGGAAGAACTCAAGTGTCCTATCAAGTGTCCTCCC